TAATTATATTTTATATTTTTTATATTTTAAATGATATGTTTATCATGTATTTAATTATGTTTATCTGTAATTAGTTACACATATTTAAAAATTAAGCTTTAATAGATTGTACTTATGTATAATTTATCAGTAACATCGAATTTTAAATAATATGCATCAATAAAGAATATTTTATGCATAAAAAATAATTTTTAAAAGTTTTTATCAAATATTTTATAATAAAGTATAGATTTTTGTTTGATTTTACAAGTTGATCCCTACGTTAGATACACAGAGTCACAGACTATGGAAGAGAAGCATGGGCCTTTTTGACATTTGACCCAAGAACTTGTTGGTAAGAAACGGGCGAAACCTAAAACAAGTCGGGTCAAACAAACCTTACCAGAATGAAATACATGGTTCAGCCTTCTCCTCTGCTATCGTCTTCTCCGTTCGGTAGATCCTTCTCCCCTCCGGTCATCCGTCATCGGAGCTCAGTCGTATCTCTCTCATCACAGGTAACTTCATATTCGACCCTTATGTATTTCTCTTACCTTGATTTCTCATTTATCCACAAGATATGTAAAAGTTAGGAGACCTAGAATCAATTGGAAGTAGCATTTTTCTATGCTCAATTATGTTCCAACTGTTTTCATTGCAGTAGAAGAATAAGGTTAATATGAATTTGATATACATGCACTCCATGAGCAACTGCGATAGTTTGATAGTATACTTAGTCTTATCCTTTTATGTGTTCGGGTCCAATTATCTACGCTTTTCATTTTGTCGAGTGACTGTATCTGCAGGAGGAAGGAGTGTGTTTGAGAGTGCTTATATGCATATTGATTTTCTCTGCCATAGTCGCGCTGATGAGAAAACTAACAAAAAACGTAGTGTAATTTGGTTGTGATCGCTTTGAAAATGTTGGTTCTAATTATTATGTGTATATCAGTATATGTTTAAGTCATGATCTTACTTGTTTACTTTCTATAGCAGATATGAGTTGCAGTTTGATTTCTCCTGAGTTGGGAACTACTTTCTTTTCATGTAAACAAAGATCATTACCTCCCAAACTGGGACTTTTGAGATACAATCCACAACAAGACCTCGGATTTCTTGATTCGTTAAAGGTATGTCATACGTATTGATATATGGCTTGCGTGTTATGCAATTGACATTTTGAACCAGACAAACTTTTTTTTTTGCAAGAATGAGTTATTGATATATGGCTTGCGTGTCATACGTATTTGATATATGGCTTGCGTGTTATCATGAAAATGCTAAAAGAACTCCATATTTTGCAAGAATGAGTTATTTTGAAACAATTTACGGAAAGTTGGATGGAAAAAAAACATTATAGCTGGTGGTCCTGTTCCAAATCATTTATTCTTGCAAAGTGTAGTGTTTTATGTTTGTCTAATAGGTTTGAGCTTGGCTCCAAAGGTCAAAAGTACCTGGAGGTCCCAGGTTCAAATCCAAGGAGGAATAAAAATCCCCTTGTGGTCACGGAGGTTCAAATGCGGTGACTCCGGGCTATCTGCAAAGCAGGTGGTCGCCCTGGGATTAGTCGGCTCGCATAGCGGGTTGGATATCCAGGTTAATAAAAAAGAAGTTAATTACAGTGATTTTGGTAACTCCTTGTGTATTTGCAACTAAGTTACTCCAAATTATGAGTCTGCATATATGTCATTAAGATCGAGTGCAATTTGAAATATTGCATTTCACTTTAGCTGCCTTCTGAGTATCTATCTTATCTTAAAGCTGTATGTGATCCTTGATGTATGCATATACAATGAAGTTTGATTTGCATCAAATTTTCTAAAGAGGAGGTTAAGGACTATCACTTTATCTGTAACCATTTTGTCTCATGCAAACAATTTATCATTATATCTGTAGCCAATTAGTGTCTTTCAGCGAACAAGACTCGTGAAAAATTCAATTATTTTCTTGCAGTTTAATGGCAAGAAATCCAGACATCAACGGATATATGGAGTACCATCACCTAATATATGCAGGGCTCAGTCCTTGGTTGTAAAATGCTGTAATAATCCTCAGAATGTTGACTTGCCACGTTATTATTCCAAGAAAGAAAAGAAGCCATTTCCTGTACCAATTGTGGAGCTCCGGCGAGCCGCCAGGGAGAGGATGAAGAGTAGGAAAGGCCAACCTAAAAGATCAGCTCCGCCTCCTAAGAACGGGTTGCTGGTTCAAAGGATGATTCCTCTTGCATATGCCACGCTGAACGCAAGAACAACGTTGATTAACACTCTCAAGAAGCTCTTGAAAGTTGTTCCAGTACAAGCCTGCAAGTAATTCCCATGCTCTACTACACATTTAAGTTTTATTTCTAGCAAACTTCATTTTGGATCCCAATTGATTGCTCATCCCACCTTCGAACACTTCCTTTGATGAGGCTAGGGGTTGTTCACGATGCCCATTAAGGATGCGTTTGGTATGTGGGATAACATGCAACAAGACAATACAAATACTTGTCCCACATTTGCATGACATTAGATTGGGGCAGGACATGACCTACCTGAGTGGGACAAATATGCAATTTTTCTGTCCCACCGCAACAGGTGGAACAAAAATCAGGGAGATAGACACGATTGCTAAATTACTAATCTACTCTTATCAAATTAAAACCCTAAAACGTTCCAGAATTCTTTCAGCCGGCTACCTCATTCTTGAACCTCCAGTCCTACCCAGTCCGGTCTGCATGCCAAACACACCCTTGTCCCTCAAGGACATGTATAGTACGAGGCTTAGGTGCATGCATGAATGCCCATAAGCCATCCCTTTTATTTTTGCAATAAGACTCATTTCTAGTTGGAAACTCTTTTCTGGGAGAAGATAAATAATGAGCAAACTTGAAATGTTTAGTCCTTTTCATTTTGGCAGGTATTGTAATGAAATCCATGTAGGGCCTGTAGGCCATCCCTTCAGGTCATGTCAAGGCCAAAATTCTTCGATTCGGAAGGGAAAACATGAGTGGGTAGATGCTGTTGTAGATGACATATTGGTTCAAATCGAAGCCTATCACTTGTATGATCGCCTCGGAAAACGCATTCCTCATGAAGAAAGATTTTCGGTCCCTAGAATCCCAGCACTAGTTGAGCTATGCATTCAAGCAGGAGTTGATTTACCTGAATTCCCCACAAAAAGAAGAAGAAAACCCATAATTCGTATCAGTAAAAGTGAATTCATTGATGCCGATGAAAGTGAACTACCAGATCCAATCTCACAAGATCCAAAACCGATGTTATTGACTGAAATACCAGATTGGGAAATAGTGCCTCCATCTAATGCAGAACAAACAGTTTTACTTGCAGAGGAAACACTCCAAGCATGGGAGAAAATGAGGGGAGGAGCCAACAGATTGATGAAGATGTACCCTGTGAGAGTTTGTGGGTACTGTCCCGAGATTCATGTGGGACCAACGGGTCACAAAGCGCAGAACTGTGGGGCCTACAAACATCAGCAGCGAAATGGGCAGCATGGTTGGCAGTCGGCGGTGCTTAATGACTTGATACCCGCAAGGTATGTCTGGCATGTTCCTAACCTGGAGGAGCCCTTGTTGCAGAAGGAGCTGAGGAACTTCTACGGTCAGGCCCCAGCGGTGGTGGAGATCTGCGTGCAGGGTGGTGCCGCCGTACCAGAACAGTACAAGCCCACAATGAGGTTAGATGTTGGAATTCCTAGTAGTGTTAGAGAAGCAGAAATGGTGGTCTGAAATGATCACCCTTTTGGTAAATGTATGAAAAAGACTTGTTCAATTCTGATTTGGAATGATCATTGTTCCAAGTATAAAACATCTTACTATCAAGATTTAGAAATAGAACCACAAGGGCTTAGCTTGGGCTCGGTGTCAATCGCTTGGGTCGACGAAAGGATAGTTCGTCTTACTCTCAGGTTCGATTCCGGTTAAGTGCAAAAACCCTGTGGCCATGCCCACCACCTATAGGAAGGGCTTTGCTGGTTCTCTAGGACCCTGTGACGTGGATTTAGGGGATTTAGATTATAAATCCATTCTAATTCCATGTTTGCTTTGTTGGATTTAAAATCTTAGGATGTAACTAAAATCCTACAAACATAGGGTTTTGAAATACTTAGGGGTGCTCGGGATTTCGTAAGACTGTATGCAATAAGGTTTTAAAAAATGTTAAAAATATTTGTGTTGTAATAATCGATGGATAAAAATGTAATTTAATTATTTTTATAAATAATAATCCAATTCCATTCCAATTTGTTACATAAGACACCATTTTGATGAACTATAATCTTACCCAGTAAAATAAGTCAGAGTATTAACACTTACCTATAGACGTTTACTAGAAACATTTGGAATAGATTTAGGAAACAACTTCATTTTTTCATTTCCATATCAATATAACATATATATATATATATATATATATATATATATATAGAGGGATGTTATTCAACACCCTTTGTCATTCCTACACCCTATACAACCCTCATCTCAACCATTCAATTTTTAATCAATTAATTGTTTCCTAATATAAACTATTAATCATAATTAATAAACTCTATTCATATTCCATAAATATTAAAATCATAATAAATGAACTTCAATCATTTATATAAATATCTCAATTAATTGGGTTACAAAGGTTGTACAAATGCACAAGGTTGTAAAAGAAATATACCCTATATATATATATATATATATATATATATATATATATATATGGTCATCACTTTTTTAACTCTAAAGGGTTCGTTTGGTTTATAGAATTGTTTTTGAGAGATTTGGATTTGGAGGGATTTGAATTGGAATGAATTTGGAATCATTGATGTGTTTGGTTTGTAGGATTTGAAACGAAATTGGATTTCATTATTTATAAATAACTTAGAAAAAATTATAAATAAATATAAAAAGAATTGAATTACATTTTTATTAATTGATTATTACAAAACAAATGTTTTTACTTTTTTTAAAATCTTATTGCATACAATCCTACGAAATCCCGTGAAATTCCTAAGGATTTCAAAATCCTATGTTTAAAGGATTTCAATTAAATCCTAGAATTTTAAATCCGGACAATCCAACAAACCAAATATGAAATTAAAATTGATTTGAAATACAAATCCCTTTAAATCCATTCCATTCCTTCAAACCAGACGGAATCTTAGGATATTTTCAATATTGACAAGTGGTATTAGTGTAACATTTAAAAGAAAAATAATATTGAAGTTTATTTATAAAATATTATCTCTCAATAAGATATGTATTATTGTTTATATGTTAAGATCTGAAGATCGTTTTAAAAAGTAACAAATATATATGATTATTGTTTATATAGTAGGTTAATTTGTTTGAGATTGTTTATAAAAATAACTTAATTATTTATTTTAGTGTGACACCGATAATAAACACTTTTGAGTGTTTGGATAAACAACTTATATCGGTGCCAAACTAGTAATAAAAAGTTTTTGAAGAAATTAAACACTTTTGACTTATAATAAGTTGATACGTGCTTTTGTAAAAAAAACATAAGTTGTTTCAAATAAACAATCTCAAACGCCCCAATGTTAATAAGATATGTCTTTTCCTTTTCGACTTTTCTAGTTAGTTGAATTATATTCAATAAATTTAAATTCCGATATAGATTTAACTTCATCTATTGAATCATACTCTGTAAAAAAAAAAATCGTACTTTTTTATTTTTGAAAAATAAATTTTCAAATTTAAATTAATTTATCACCTAAAACAGAAATTCTACATTCTCAAAAATATTATACATTCAAACAGACGCTTATAAAAGACATAATTACAAATATAAATCTTCAGATCCCAATATCAATCAAAATACATCAATACTTAAAACAAAGACTACAAAATATACAGTAATAAGTTGATTGCAGCTAAACAATCTTTTGATACGTGGTCGTGGTCGTCTAAAGCAGATAAGAGCCCCGAATAACAGATAGTCAGGTTGTCGATAGAGAAACCTAGTTCTTCCAACTTATGTTAATTGATTAAAATAAAGCCCCCAAAAAGAAAGACTGAAAATGAAGCCCAACTATCTAAAAACAGAAACGGGAAATAAAACCTAAACTCCCCCAAAAGTAACGTTAATATTGAACGCAATTGACCCTAAATATCGGTCAAAATTGCGGTAAATTGCGCCGATAATCGCGCTACCGCAATCTGACCACCGTTATTTTGCTAAAGTCCGCTATCCGAGATATCGCCGTAATTGCGGTGCTATTGCGCCACAATTAACAACATAGATAAGAACCTCAATAAAACTCCACAATTGAGGTTCTTATAAAAACCCCATTTTTTTAATTTATAAAATGTAATTTTATTTATAGATTATTATATAAATTTAATATATATATATATATCTATATATATATATATATATATTACAAAACTATGAAAAAAATCAAATATAGTTTATTAATTTTCAGATTTCAATGTTAATTTCAATTTGCTGATTTATATATTTTATTAACATGCTGGAAAAACAACTAAAACATAATTAATTTTATACTACAATTAAAAAAAAGTGTAACATTGTAACAAATTAAAAAAAAAACTTATCAATACGAACACTTGTATAAAAATTTATAAAAATAAAAAATAAAACAAAATTAAAATTTTGTTTTATATTAATTAATTTTATATTACTTTTATAAATTTATTAAAAGAAATTAAAATAGTTAAGAAACAATAAATAAATAAAATAAATGTATACAAGAACTCATGTTCTTGTTTAAATACTTGGGTTCTAAAGAACCTGGGATTGGACAAGAATTTTTGTTCTACAGTGAAGGTTCTTATAGAAATCTCAGCAAAAACCTTAATAAGAAAGAACATCCATAGTGGTGGAACCTCTAAAAACCTCATTTTCCATAATATTTTCATGCCAAATCATTGACACCTCTACAAAATAAAAACCTCAATAAAACCTTGGTTTCTGTTTTTTAATTTATAAAAAGTAATTTTAATTTATAGATTAATATATGAAATTAATATATATATATATATATATATATATATATATATATAAGGAATATATCAAATGCAACCCACCTATTCTTACAACCAATACAACCCTTTTCCAACCAATCAATGATTTTTTTTTTAATTATTATTTGTAGTGATGTTCACTAGCGGCAATGGTTCCATTGGAAGTAGGGGTGAGTGCAATGCTTATGTATCCCAATCGACAAGAAGTTTAAGGTCACTGTTAAAAGAACAAGTCAGTCTCATCATTCTGTGTTCAATTTCTATATGATACTGTTGCTATCTTCTGTTCCCTAAACCAACTTAAACCCTAAACACTGATCCACATATCGCAAACACCAAACTCCAACATCTTTACAAAAACCCTAAACCTAAAGTCTTGACACTTTGCTGCTCTGAGTTTGTGTTGATGTAATCTTGGATATTTTGGAGGGATTGCCACCAATGTGCTAATTTGTTGCTGTGTTGAAGGACATCTCTTTCACTATGCCTCTTTGCCATTCTAAAGTGGAGCAAGTGACTACAGAAGACCTCTTTGAGCTCTTAGAGATTGAAAAGTACAATCTAGGAAAGGTACAACTCCACATTATGCTGAGTTCATTGCTGGGATGGGTGTACTGCTTTTTAGCATAAACCATCATGAAGCCTGTTTCATTAAAACAGGCGACTTCATTGTTCATTCACATTGAAGTTTCTCAATAGATATTCTATTGGACACAATTAAAGTT